GCAGGAACACTGATGGATTTCTTGTCTTCACTCTGCAATTGGGCAGAGGTCAAGTAAAAGTATGTCAACACAGGACATCACCGAAATGGACACACCGGTTGCGAACTTTGAAAAATACCATCCAAGCAAAATAGTGAACAGTGCCTGCTGCTCAGCAAAACAGACAAGCGTGCAGGGACTAAGACAGTGGTCCCTGAACAAATGTGTATCAGTTCTGACCAAACAACCTGAATCACTCCTGAGCACAAGACATCAGAATCCGTTGGCTTTTGCTCAGCTTGATTCATCACAGTCACATTCTATGGTCTGTTCAGTGCACTAATAATTAGGGGTCCTTTTTACAAAAGCAATTTGCTAACAAGTGGCAGCAGTGTCACACACATCTGCAGTGCCACTTAAAAATGTATCAGTAATTTTGACGTTCTCTTGCCTGCTTAGGCATGGGTTGTTATTCTATTGCCAATTCATCTGATTAGTGGCATGTCAAAATGAGTAAGAGAGGGAGAATCTGACACTGCAAAATGTTGCTCGCTTGTAGCAAACTTGGTGAAACAGGCCCGCGAGCAGCAAACTGCAGTGTTTGGAAGGTGAAACGACATTAAACAAGAGACAACTAGAAGAAAATGTCTCAGTATGTCAGCACCAGTAGCAATGTGTGAGAAACCACTAACCAGCCCCCTAACAGAGACCCTATTGAATAGTTTCATGGAGGTCATAGTTGTATTTATGTGGAACAACATCGGATCCCAGAAACTCCTATCTCCACCATTAACTGAAAAAAAAACAATAAAAACTAGGTACCAAGAATGATTATACCAAAGCAGACAAAGTTTTGTTACTGTTACTCTGTGCATCACTGTGAGATAACATATCTGACCTCACTGTCAGCCTCTGCAACCTGTGCCTCTGCTTCACTCTCCAGCATCATGTCCTCTGCCTGGGCTACAGCGCTGTAGGGGGCGCTATGCAGTGGGGGGCCTGCGGTGCTCTCAGAGAGGCTCTTGGTAGCTTGGATCCTCTGTGGGTGCAGTCTGCTCAGGGACAGGTAGTAGAAGCTGTCCTGCTTTCCATTCAGCACATAGCCAGAGAAGGACATCCTGCAGAACTCCTGCGGGTTCAGACATTATCATACATTCTAACCAAGAGTCCAAACACTCATACTGTCATACATGCTCTTTTACAAACAAGTATGGAGTACTGATGAGACGAAAGCTGAGTTTAAAAAGTACATGAAGCAAGGTGAACGAACCGTACTTGAATGGTTCACTCAGTAAGCTGAGCAGTTACCACTGGCACAACAGCTTTTAGCCAAAATACTGCTTTCACTCACTAACTCATACTAATCGATTCCACTCTGCCTTTCATTCATTCTCTCTCAGTGAAACTCAACTTCCCTTGCAGCTGTGTCACAGTAAAAGCCTACCAGGAGAGAACAGAAGTAATGGTGCTTGTCCCCCAATGTCTGTGCACCCTAAAAACAAAATACAATCTATATTTGTAGTAATTTTTTGCACTGCAAATATGCAGGTTCAAGACTTTTGTGCTACAATAGGGCATTATATCATGACATTTTTAAATATGATAATATGTAAACCAGTGGTGCACCCATCCTAAAATTACCCGCCACCCAAGTCATTCTAATTCTTCATTACCCAAAGCCTTAAAAATCCGATATACATTTAAGACTTAGCACATTTGACGGGAGTGTTCTCAAGAAAGCTAATTATTATTGTGTATGATTTTGAGATAAAACTAGAATCCCATGTTGCCTGTTATTAAATCATACAGATCACTGAAATGATAAAAGTAACAAAGAGACTGGGTATTGTCAGCGAGGCTGTGAATACGGGCCTCAAAGAGCACCAAGATACAGAGAAGGCAGAGGAAAAAGAGGAAGTTCCAGGGGAGGTTGGAGAGGACAAAGGAATTATCATTAAAATGCTGTGGCATAATGCTTAGAAAATTTAAGCTTTTAATAAGTAAAGATAATCATAAAATGATTTATGTGTGTTTTGTTTGAGATAATCAGTAGAGAATGTGTTAAATAAAATGTGAAATGGTTGTATTGAAAGGATGGGGAAAACTGATTTTACATCTAACAGAGTGGAAAGTACAGAATCACACAAGAGGAAGTAGACACACATCCCTAAAGTGAGGAACTGGTTCATGTGTGCCTGCCACACAGAGAAGAGACACACACCATACTGAGGAAGTAACAAAACTGGCCTGTCAGACTCTGATGTGTGCTTTGTATTTGCATCAGAGCTTTAGCTTAGACATTTTGGCATCTATACACATTATTCTATAGGACGCAGGTACAAATGTAAAGCCACCTAGAGTCTTGACATTTGAAGTACAATTGCTGTTCAAGGCTATGATTCAGAGAATGGAAGATACTAGCAAATAATATGACATATGAGGCACTGGACATACGTAAATGAAATCTTTGTTATCAGCTAATAATTAATATTTATGCTTAAGCCACCCACATGCGTAGCCTGAAATTCCTCTGGGCTGTATAGCCTTTTTAGTGATACCCCAAGATTTTCAATAGCCCATCTAGCCCACCACTAAATATTTTATGCAGGTGCCACCGATGTAAACAGTGGCATATTCCTTAAACGTGTGCATGTGTGTGATTGCCTCTTTGAAATTGTCCAGCGACTGCTCAGCCCCAAAGACAAACTGGAGTGGGACATCTTCACAGAGACAGTGTGGGTGATCACTGGAGCGCAAAACATGCTCTGCTACTTTCTGCAGTGTGGCTGAGCTGATGACCCGAGAGTGACGCAGAGCAGAAACAATCTCATCCTCCAGCAGCCAGCGGATCTAAAACACACACACACACACACACACACACACACACAGCAAATCCAAGAAATCCTTATGGCTGTTGTGCGTGTATAGTAACAGAAAAATACAAACATCACAGTTTGCAATAAACCCCTTTCAATTTCAACAAACTAACGCTTTCTAGCATGTTCATCACAAGCTTACACTATTCATACACACTGTCTGCGTGCTTCCCAACTGCCCTGGCTCCTTGTGTACATGTGGAAATTTAAGGCCAAGTCTGTTGAAATTCTGGAGTTTTAAACCAAAACTGAACGTCTCCAACTAACAATAAGTGTGTGTGTGTGTGTAGCGAAGCCCGATACATCTTCTTCCTCTGTGCTGTAGAGCTCCATTGTTGTCTACAAAATATTAAACATATCAGTGAACAGCACTGTTGGACTGAGTGACATGTTCCTTCATTACCATTAACTTGTGACTCAGTCCCACACACACCATCCTGCTGCCACAAATGCTGACTAGAGCCCCAAATGTTGATTCTTCCACCACTGAGAAGAGTCCCCAACAAATCTACAGTGAGCAGGAAATTACTAACCCTTTTTAAAAATCTAACTGTGTACTGTATATGTGAGATTTCGATGTCCAGCAATTGCCTATGGGCTCGGGGCTCAGACAAACACAGTATTAGAGACAGATTAACACACTGCTGCTTTTGGTCCTGTCATAAGGTTCAGTAACAATAGGAAACATACAGATAGAGAATACTGACAGATTTAAATTTGTAAACCCCCCAAGTTATAGTTGGGATCATGTTCCTGTGAATTTTCAAAGATACTGTGTACCCCTAATATTAATAAAAAAAAAAAAAAAATCAATTTCAACAAAAAATGTAAAGTAAATGAAAAGGACATAAACTGCCTTGAGATGATTTTTGTTGCTATACGCACATAAATATGATATTATCTCATCTCAAAGTGTACTTATGAGCTGTGTGAATGCCTAGACCGGCTTGGGACACACTGGTTCAAGGTGTTTGTCACTGTGCAGTGTATTTGCGTTAAGATACTCTACTCTCTGATGCTATAGTTATTTTTTGCTGTATTTAACTGTTGTGTTGTTGCTTTGATAGCTCACATTAAGATGAGTAAGACTCACCTTATCTATTGTGGCCAGAATTGCTAGGTTCTGAGGAAGTGGGAGCTTGGATAAGGGATCGCCAGAGACCCTGATGGAAGAAAAGCAGAAACCTCTGTTGATGGACAGAATCTGATGGAAAGTCCAGCTCGTATGTGTTGCACCAACTCACCCATTAACACCAGCTCCCCTCAGACTGTCCAGTGCTGCCATCATCTCCTCATCAGAGCGATAGGAAGAGGGTTGTCCCGGTGAACGGTTCAAAGACACACTGCTCTCTGAGGTGTACCTGTACACAAAAAGGAGGTCTGACACGGCACTGCCACATCTTGGTTTCATCAGTCACACTTTATCTAAGGAACGCATGAGGAACATAATCACTGTTTCACATTAATAGACTAGTGTGTCTGAGCTTAATGACAGCTGTTCATTTTAGACAAGTCGTATACCTTGTATAAAGTTGCTTTATCTGATTATAGCAGCTTACAACATACATTTTCTTGGTAATAATACAACAGGATGGCGCCAAAGTTAAAAAAAATGTAATCCTATACATACTGTTAAATTCAACTTAAGGTACCCTGGGGAATCTTTGACCACTGGCAGCACTGTGAAGCAGTGATTTTACCAGCGGGTCCCTGTGATTTTTGTTTTGTTTCTGTTTCTTTGTGCCTCCTATCAAGCACCAACTGATTTGCATTTAATAGTTACTTTCATTATTGACTAATCTGATAATTATTTATCAGTTATCGGTTGAATTACTTAATAAAATTGAAACGGTGACAAAACGTTCATCACGGTCTCTCACAGCCCAAGCTCACATCTTCAAACTGCTTGTTTTGATTTTCAGTTTACAATGTCATAAATAAAAAGGAGGAATGCAACAAATCCTCACGGAAACTACGAAATGATTAATCAATTACCAAAATAGGTGTCAATTAATATTCTGTCAATCAACTAATCTGCAAATTGCTTTATCTCTACTTTGTGCTACCCCAGTTAGTGACAAATGGTAACAAGCGCAAAACAGAAGAAACAGAAACTTCCTCTAGCCGTTCCTTAGAACTCGTGTTCACAAGATTGTGTCTCCAGCCGTGGTTGTCGCCAGCGCGAAGCCATAAAAACCTCGCATAATCTAGTTTTATACTGTGACTCACCTGTTATGCTGGAAATCAGCCAAGACTTCAATCTCCAGAGGAAGTGTCAGGACAAAAATATCTAACGTGACTGAGAGCTCATTTAAATCCACAGATTGTAAGGCCTCAGCATCCTCCAGGCAGGAAATAATCTTACCTACAATCACAAAAACTAGTCTCAATGACCAAACTTCAACTTTTCAACTGAATAATACTCGTGGCTGTGGCTCATGAGGTAGGGCAAGTCGTCTTCTGACCAGTAAGTCAGTGGTTCGACTCCCTGAGCAAGACACTGAACCCCAAATTGCTCCCGGTGGCTTGACTAGCGCCGTTGTGTGGCAGCCTTGTCGTCATCGGTGTGTGAATGTGTGTGTGAATGGGTGAATGGTGTATAATCTCCCTGTAAAGCGCTTTGGTCAGTGCATAAAAGCGCTATATAAATACAGTCCATTTACCATTTACCATAATACTCATTCATTTATAGAGGAAAGAGAAACAAAAAGCAGTTTGATGAGTGAAGGCTGTCAGTTTTGGATGTTGGAAAATCTGAAAGCCAGGGGAGCCAAGATGATGCATCCTTATTCTGCAGAAGTGAAGAGACAGTTGAGGCCGTACTTACCCAGGCAGGTAGGCAGTGTCTGTATAGGCATGGAGCCATGGCAGCTTTTCATATTGACAGAACATGTGACATGAACAAACAATGGTGGCATGTCGGGCTGTGGATCCTCGGGCTCCAGCAGGGAGTCTCCCTCCAGGATGCTGAAGGAGTCCTGGTCCTGGTTGACAGTGTTCGAATCTGACAGGGACTGGTCGTCACTTTCTCCGAGAGAGCTGGTGGCTGGATGCTCCTCATACTCAACCACCAAATCTGTGTCACTCTCCGTCATGATACAGCAGCCCGACACATTTTCTATGCACAGGTCAATAAAGAGGTCATTATCTTATTGATGAAGTGCCATTACATGAAAAAGTAATAATAACTTTGCAGATTAACTTCATTTTACATTAAATTAATGTGTACCATGCTGCTCCTTTCTCAGTGGTAAGAGCAACCTATCAGCAACTGAAGCTTTATAAATCATAAAATTCCTACACTGAAATGAGAGCTTAGTTTGTTATGCATCAGCACTTCAACTAACTATGTGAGAGCACTGTCCAAAGTAAATAATGTGATTTACATATACCCCAAGCTGCAATAAAACAGCAATGCTTTAAATATCTGAAAAACATAAAGGTAAACATGTCTGACTGGTCCTCACCGTCCTCCACAGCTGGCTCAGCGTCCGACACCAGGTCCTCGCTGGGTCTCCTCTGTACCTCCCCGTTGCTCAAGTCCTCCTGAGAAGGCAACCCACAGTGAAAAGGTTTACCCAAGCTAATCAACATCAGTGTTCATGTGAGGATTGTTCCTCTTTCTGTATCAATCAATAAATCAATACTGTTCATTTATTTTGGAGAGCTGAACATTAGTCTGAACAGTTTAACCGTTGTTTCACAAATACACTTTTTTTTTTAATTTTTCTTTGATTAAATAAACATAAATTCCTATGTTTTTATCTTCTCTTCCTTCTCCCAGCCAACATTAATCTAGAATTCGTATTTCCTCTATATAATCTTGGGCATAATTTCATTATGAGCAATAGCAAGATATGAAAGCAAAGCAAAATCAATCTGGCCAACACACAACTGAGACAACTCACCTCTTTCTTAGATGAAGGTGGGCAGTAGAAGTAGTAGTGTGGATTGGAGGGCACAGTTTTGAAATACTGAGACACAATCTCCATGAATTTCTCCTGTCAAATTATTAATTTTATATATGAATAATTAATTTCACCTTGTAAATATTAGTTCATGTACTAATTACTCAGTGAACAGCCCATCACTAAAAGTGCTAACAAATTCTAATGTAAAACATGACATTAAGAGTGGAGCATGAATAATTTTTGCCTGTTTTACTTCAGACAATACCTGTATTATTTTGTGCAAATCTGGGTAAACTTCACACTTGGGCTGCATCTGGAGCTGTGACAGAGGGAACTCTGGGATCTTGGCCGTCTTGGACTCATGCAGAATCGGTGGAGATGTAGGAGCACATGACGTCCCTCTAGATTCAGCTTCGTTGGAATCCTCCATTTCAATGCTATCACCAGAAATATTAGCAATTAATTATTAAATAATAATAGATAAAAGAAAACTGGATGAAATTTAAAAATGATTGTTGCCTTTAGACCGTTAACACACCCACTGTGATGTTACAGTAATGGCTGTATGGATAGAACTCTGCCATCAGACTAGGGTTTCACCATATACCACGGTATTAAAATTGATGGTTATCATACCCAGTACATTTATTACTGATACTGAAGTAAAAAAAAAAAACAACAACAACTCGATACGTGCGCACATTTCTTCCCCAACTGCCCGTCAGACAACGCAATGGGCGCCACATGCACATATGCCATGGACAAATGGCACAGAGAGGAGGCTGATATCACCAAGCTTCATCCACAAAAAAAAAAAATTTAAATCCTATATGTATCTCAGAAACCAACACCTTGGAGAACACCATCCCGCAGAGCATATCTACATCTGTGTCCCGTTTATTACTTTAATCCCAAACAATAAAACCTGTGAGCGAACAAGAGTCGACCATAAAATACATTATCAAAATAATTTTGCACATTGTCTGTTCATTGACTAATCTCTGATTTACAACAGGACTCACACTGAACCCAATCTAACCCCAGAACCACACACACAAACTTTCTCAGCTCACAAAAGTGAGTGTGTACACATGTGTGTGAGTGAACAAACAGACAGGGTCCGTCTGGCTGAGGTGTCACTTGCTTCATGTAGCTGATGCTATTGCTGTAGCACTGTCAAAGTCTTTAATTGGCTGTGCTGGGACACAACCTGGACGCTCAGAGGATAGCGCTGGTAATGCAACGTCAGAGGGATTTGTTCACATCTCCACTGTTGCAGAATGTCTTCATAAAGCAGGACTGAGGTTTTACTAGAGACCAGATAAATGTAAATGTATGTTTAGTCTTGGTGAAGGTAATGTGAGTGTTCTGACTGACAGCACAAGCTCTCTCTACTGTCTGGTGTGTTGATTCACTTCATGCACATGACACAATGAGCAATGATTGAAAAGTTTCTTTTGAATTAGTCAGAACTGATAGTAGTGAAATCAAAACTTAATTGTCAATCAACTCAAAGTCAATAAATGAAAGTTCATTTGATGTAAAAGAAAAGTTTGACCTCTTCATAACAGAGAGACAGACACTACCACTGAGTTATTCTTGAGGGATCTACAAAGAAAAGTTAAACAGAGAATATGGTTAGATTAGATTTTATATAGAAAACCATAGTTGTTTATCTTGCATATAAGATCGAGAACCATAAGTGGCAGTGAATATGAAATTCACTAGCATCTATTTTGATAACTGTTTAAAGCATTGTGAAGGCATTTCTCAACACTGACAGAAGTCAATTGATTAATGAAGAAAATGATGAGCAGGTTAATTCCTAATGAAAAACATCAGTGGTTGCACCTGGACACAAACTAGTTCAGCAGAGCTCCACCTCAGCCAACTACAGCAGTCAGATCCCGTTGTTACATCAGTGTACGACTGATAGGCTGATAATGTAATGACAGAATATATAACAGTATAACTTGTTTCTGCATTGAATAGCCTACTTCTACATTTAATACTTTAAGCATGGTAACACTTCATTTTACTTAACATTTTCAATTTTACTGTAACAGAGTAGGCTGTGTGATGTTAGTAATTTTACTCAAGTAAAGGATCTGAATCCTTCCTCCGCTACTGGTGCTAACATGCAAACTAACATGCTTTAGGTATACAACACGTTATAGTTGTATGCTGTTTTTTAATAATCTTTGTAACTGTTTATTCTTCAGGGTCAGTCTAGTGCTGCAGTCCAGCTCAATCAACTGGCACAGGCACTTTTGCAACCCTTCATCAGACTGAAGTCGTTCTCGGCAGGCAGAACTCAGCACAACACCGGTCCTTGACAATAACCTTAGAAATGATCCACTCTGGAGTGTGTGTTTCCATATTAGATGGGTCTTCGCGACATAAATTTGAAACTATTTTTCACTGAAGTTAGCACAGGTATATCATTATTATGATTAGGGATTGGTATTGTTAGGATTTTATCAATACCGATATTGATAGTGATACCACAATGATGGCTTTTTTTTAAAATCAGAAACAAAACCATCAAGGCAGTCTCAGCATTCAGTTTCTGCAAACTTCTAAATCATTTAACATGATCCCAATGACTCCTTGGTCTTACCTGGATGAGGAGGTGATGGCTGCCCTGTTGTCTGGGCGCTCCTTCTCAACCTCACCAATAACAAAGGTGGCAGGGCTCCTCGAAGGTTTGGAATTCTCCCCCCATCCTGTAGCCTCGCCATGCTCCCTGAAGACCCTGATATGTCCACAGAGGGTCTGCAGGAAGGAGGTGATATCAATCTCCTGCAGAGACTCTTCACAATAGTCCATGGCCATCAGGACATCTTGGGAGCTGATGCTGTAGGACTGCTGCAGGCTGCGATACACACCTGAGGAACACAGGGAGCAAATCAGTGGCTGAAGCGCTGTACTGTACACTGTAGTTTGAATATTTGTTTTTAATTTCACTTAAAGAAATTGTTAAGAACACTTGGAGAAACATAGCATTCTTCTGAGTGTATGTTAGTGGGCAGAGGAAAGAGGTCACCTTTGACGTAGCTCTGGTGGTAATGCTCTTGCAGCAGGCTGCAGTAGTTGGCCAACTCCTTGTGTTTGTGAGGTTGAGTCAGGAGGTCGGTCCACGGAGATGGAGTGCTGCGGTCCTGAGACAGTGACCTGTCAGAGGACAGAAAATAAACATTCTCAATTAGAAAGACTAATGAAGTGCCTGCTGAAACCACACTGACTGTTTAAAAGTTATTTTAATATCTGCAAAGACATATGTTCATTCACATAACCATAATCCCACATGAGTAAAAATACAATGTCAGTCAAAATGCACTAAATTCCTTTCCAGTGAACTGTGCATAAGCATTTAGATACCTTTAGCCCAGATCTCCACTACAGTATGCAAAGTCAAAAAAGCATGCATTTGGAGCACTGTATCAAAAACAAAAATCATTTATCAGGACAACAAGGTGAGACATGAAACGGGTGAAAAATTACCTTTATCCCCAAAGACAGAGTTTTTGCAGCAATGTTTTTGCCCATATAACAACCTCTATAGATACAGTATATGGAGATTGAAGCATGCCAGTAGAAAAAAAATTATAGTATATTGTTAAATTAAATTAATGAAGTTGTGCATTTTAAAAAACAAAATTTGCTAAATTGAATTAGCATTTAAAAAGTGTTGAAAAACAAAAATATTTACAAAATCATTCAATTTGCCAAATAATAAATGTTAAGCTTGATTTATGGGTCTACACCATAGGTATGACGTAGGTAACGTGTAGCCTTGTCCACTACGCAGTAGCCTGATGTGCCCCTCGCCACAAACTACACATTGTGGTGATGCAGAGAGCAGCAGCTGTGATTGGTTGCATCGGATTTCCTCGTTCATGTCTCTCAGTGGCCGGATAAGCACGGACCATCTCCTCTGAAATCTTCTCACTTATCTGTTTTGTAGAAATTTCAGTAACAGTAACTGTTGTTCAATATACAGTATATCAGTTTTAACTCCAACATGACCCACTCACTTTCAGTCACTATTGTTAGTAAGTGGTGGAGAAATGCAACACAGTGACACAGAAACCCCGCCGCCAACACAGACACAGCAACACACAAGAATACAGTAAATGATCACAACAGGCCACTGAGGTAGCCTATGGCATAGACTCTGCATCTATTCAACACAGAACCATACATCAAGCTTAATCTTTTCTCAGGTTTCACATACAACTTTTCACTGCATTATGTCTCTGAAGAATTTAATTTAAGCAACAATTAAAAGCAACCTCTAACAGCCTTGTTGATCTTTAATTTAAACTGTGTTAACCCTGTTCTGGTGGCACACTCAAGACTCCATATACAGGGATCTTCACCATCACATGCCAATGAAAGAATACACAGACAAACAGACAAAAGGCTAATGTGCAAGAAAACAACAGTTCCCATTAAAATGTCTCCAGAGGAGACAGGATCCCTATGCCTCCGAAAAAAGACAACGTGCTGTAGTTTAAAAATTCTGCAAGTGTAACAGGAACATTAACAACAAAATGCAAAATAATATGTGGATCAGTCAGTGCTACATTTAACACAGTACGCCATACCTTCCTGCTCAGCTGCATTAAGAAGTGGTTGGCATTTCTAACTCTCCCCTTCATTGATTTAAATCATACCTCTGTCAAGGAACTTGTCTTTCTACTGGTAGCTCCTCATCTTCAACTGCACATCCTACCTGTGGTGTGCCACAGGGGTCAGTCTTTGGATCTTTATTATTTTCAATACACATGCATTGACTTGGGGACGTACTGTATAAAATAAATTTTCATTTTTATGCAAATAACACCCAGCTATATGTATCCATAACAGTGGGTGACACCAGTGGTCTACAGTATTAAACTATACAAACTGCTTTAGTGAGATTAAGCATTAGCTGTTGTCAGCAAGGCTGCAATTACGGGCCTCAAAGAGCACCGAGATACAGAGAAGGCAGAGGAGAAAGAGGAAGTTCCAGGGGAGGTTGGAGAGGACAAAGGAATTATTATTAAAATGCTGTGGCAGAATGCTTAGAAAATTTAAGCTTTTAATAAGTAAAGATAATCATAAAATGATTTATGTGTGTTTTGTTTGAGATAATCAGTAGAGAATGTGTTAAATAAAATGTGAAATGGTTGTATTGAAAGGATGGGGAAAAGTGATTTTACTTCTAACAGAGTGGAAAGTACAGAATCACACAAGAGGATGTGGATACTGTAGAAAGAAATTCTTGATAAAATGATATAGTGCTATGTTATGTACTTGCAAAACTGTTCAAATAATTGTTTAATTTGTTTGGCCTTTGTAAAGATTTGACCTGTGGACATGAAATGCTGTGAGTGCAGAGAGACTTAGAACAACAGGAAGTCGTGCAGATACATACTGAGATGACTAAACTGTCTGCACGAGAATTGTGTGTGGGTGTAAGGTCTGATTGTCTTGGCTTCAGATTATCAACATTTATCAACATTATATGAAATTCTAGGATTGACATTATAATCTGCATTAGCAAATATATCTACAAGTTTACTTTAGTATCATATGCTTTATGATTTACTTTTGCTTTAACCAGTTCACTTGTCTTTAAGAATATAGGAGACATGTGTAAGGTTGTAAGAGTAGACAGGAAACCACAGAACAGGAAGTAGACCAGGTCGCATAGCAACGCTGGCGCTCTTCCTAAATCTGCAGACAACAACTAACTATTTATAAAGACGTATGTAGAAGGGTAATGTCTAGGTCGAAAGGTCAGGATGTTGTACTTAGTGTCACAGATCAAAATTTGCCTGGCGACAAGATCATCAAATGAGGGGTCAGAACGAGGTCAACAAACCAATCGAGGAACGAGGATGAAGGACAGCATGGATGACATCAGATCTCCATCCTGACTGTGTTATAAATTCTCTATGTAGAGGAAACTCGTGGTGCCGGCTTCCTGCTGCAGCTATGCACTATACTTCTGTGTGATAGGGCTTCAGATAGAGACGGAATCCAGAGCTCTGTAATTGCTTTTCTTCATCAAGGTTGTAATAAATATTTTAAAGGTTTTGCCACGCGCTGTTTGAGGCATGTACACTGTATGTCTTATTATCCAACATGCTATCCACCTTGCTGTCCCCACCCCCGCCAGCTGAAGAAAAAGTGCTGTTTTTTTAGGGAGGCGAGCTTAGGTCACAGTGGCAGTTATACTGCTGCTGTGGACCTAATTGAGGACAGCCCATTGCAGGGCACAGGGCATGAAAGAATCTTTTCAGGACTGTGCATGCACGAGGGATAAACCGCCTATATGCATAGAAGCTTGGGTTACTGTATGTAAGCATCGTTATGCACAGTGGGCTTGGACTGACAGTAAAAAATATGCAATACTTCAGAACAATATGAGCTTGCATGCCAAATAAGGTATCAACTGCAAACTGCGGCATCTGGTTGGATGAGAGGTCAAGGACAACTGACCAAGAATCCTATAAAAACCAAGGCAAAAAGAGGAACGGAGAGTCCTTTCATGGCTGCGGCCGGAGGCTCTGTCCGGTTAACCATCTGACTTCCAGGAGACCGAGGACTGCGGAGAGGCAGTCCGGGGAGAGGGCACCCCTCTGGGGGTGCTCCCCCGCAGGCACCGGCCTGTGGGAGTGAGAAGCATGCCATCGTGGAAGAGTGAGCCCCTTTTCTGGGTGCTTGGACACAGGCATCGGCATGTCAGAGGAGGATACATGCCAACGAGGGAGTCAGCCCCTTTTCTGGGTGCTTGGACACAGGCATCGGCCTGTCAGAGCAGGAGGATGCATGCCACAAAGGGAGCACCCTTTTCTGGGTGCTTGGTCATGCATCGGCCTGTCAGAGCAGCGGGATGTCGACGTGGGATAATGAAACTGTGGCAGAGCCTCACAGTTTAGCAGGAAAACTGAATTCCTGCTTCAAAGCTGATTACTGAAGAACTCATGAATTTTAACAAAAAGCCAAAATCCACCTGGCCTGGTGGGGAAATGATGTCTTGCAAAGAAGACAGTTTTAGATATTTTCATGTCTTTATGAAGATTTGGACCAAAAGGAGACTGTTTATAGACATTTTCATGTCTTTTATGCTTTCCTGAGTCACACAAGATTTGACCAAGAAAAAAACAGTTTATCTGAAATTGTCCTATTTCTGAGAGTTTGGAGGATTGAACCGGATGAGCTTTGATGTTTTCGTTTGTAAATTCTTTTTCCTTGTGAAAGCTTGAATCATGGCAAAAAGGAAAAAGAGGAACAAGTGATTGCCCCAACCGGCCACCGCCCGCCCAGAGCCAACTGAGGATCAGTGACGTGAGACCTTTGACTTTTATTCAGATCAAGAGCCTAGCTCAACCATAATGATATTTAATCAGTATGATCATTTTAAATTTATGTTTAGAATTAGTAGTTGTTGATTCATTTAGATTGGAAGCCGATTGACGATTTTAAGGTTTATATTTTATTGCTTGTTGCTTTGCTGTAGCTCTGTTAAGCTTCTATATAAAATTCCTGAAAAGGTTTAATACTTTGTGGTTATTGAGCCAAGTTTGATGTTACTGACATTCCTATGATTGTGGTGAGTTAACACTTTTAAGCGGTAATGGTTAAGACAAACAATTCTCAATGTTTGGTTACCCAATTCCCAGTGAGTGCAATTACCTAAGCCTTAGTGAGTGTGTGAGGTTGTATAACAGTTCACAGGGTTGACAGAAGGCAAAGACTGAACTGCTAAAATGATTTTTAGACAATTATATCAGGAAAAGATTTCATCTAAAACATCCAGTTATTTACTTGTTACATAATATATACAGTTCTCTAAATATCCTATCCTTAACATCTTATGTCAACTAAACACTGTGCAAAACAAATATGGTCTTAAGTGTCCAGTGACACAGCTTTCATTGGTTATTTCAGACTAAATTTGACACTTCCTCAAAGAGCCAGAGTATCCTGGCTTATAAAAGTTTCTCAGTACGGTAACATCTGAGGGTTAAAGGGGTAGCTGCCACAATAAACTGCAGGTTGCTATTATTTGGGAGGTTTGGGGTCTTATCCTGGATTAATAGCATGAAAGAGGGAGGTCTGCAGGGAACTCTGTTCGCAGATTCGTGGTAGTCAGTTACTGAGTGAATATCTCCGTCATATAACCTCAAGCAGTGTTTGGAGCTTTAATATGTTTCAAATATGCCGCCTTAGTGTGAGGTAAGCTTTATTCCTATGTCCAGGGGTTAGCATATCGTGGCCTTCAAACACTGTCCCCCAGCTTCCTCTAGCTTAATGAAACAAAATGAGGTTGTCTTATTTGGCCTGCCAAACTCAAAGGCAAAACCTAAGAAGTCTTTCTGCATATGTTAAACCTGGTGCAAAAAATCTAGGAGTGCTGTTTGACCTTAGCTTTGATGCGGAGGTCAGGAAAACCGTACAGTCCTGCATTCTCTGCTTAAGAAAACTAAAAGTCTGGATTGCTTTAACTCTGGATACTCTTGCTTGCGTCAAAGTTCTGTTTCTCACCTACAACTGGTTCAAAATGCAGGCAGCAAAGTTTAACTAACTGAAGCGCATCCAGTACAGGGGCGGCTGTGGCTCAGGAGGCAGAGCGAGTTGTCCCCTAACCAGAAGATTAGCGGCTCGGTTCCTGGCTTGTCCAGTCCACATGTCGAAGTATCCTTGAGCAAGTTGCTCCCAGTGATAACATCAGTCTATGAATGGGTGAAAGGCCAAATGCTATGAAAGCGCTTTGAGTGTGCTGCAATGCACAGAAATGCACTATACAAGTATAAGACCATTTACAGTATGATCATACCACATGGTTAATGGCTGTCTGTTTCTTTTTGAAATACTTTTAAAATCTTACTAATAACCTTCAAGGTCCAAGTCCCTTCTCAAAGCATACTTCATATACAGTCCTTTTTTGTTAACATAAAATTATATTTGTTCTTAATATTTTATTCTGTTTAATGTAGCTTACTCTTTTGTTATTAGACACATTGGTGATTTTTATGTAAACAATATTATGTGCTATGTTTTTAATATATTATTCTGTGTTTAATTTATCTTAATATTTTGGCGTTTTCTCCTAAATATTTAGAAAAGTGCTATCCAAACAAAATTATATATAATCAATTATCAGTTAGATCCATATTAAACTCCTAGCTGTACATGTTATGACTACTGCAGCAGAAATTCCCATTTAAAGAAATGTTTTCTCAATGTCAGTGCCAACATGCCTAGATGACACTCTTCAGGTGAACAAAAACGTGTAAAAAATAAAAATAAAAAAATTGTCACAGTTGTTGCTTCAGCCAACCAGTCAAATTGACTAGAATGGGACAGAGTGGTCTTGACCTCTGATCTTTGACCACCAAAATCTAATCAGTTCACCCCTGAGTCCAAGTGGACAAATGCCAAATTTGAAGAAACTCCCTCAAGGTGTTCTTGACTTATTAAATTCACAAGAAAGGGCCAGACTGCTGGACAAACAAACCCAAAGCATAATGCCTCTGCCAGCACAGAGGCATATAAAATAAACTTGGGACAATAAAAGGCAGGATACTACTGGACAGTGACATAAGCCAGCATTCCACACATAATGCACAAGATAAGTGAACAGCAATGTATTCTGACTGGGTTATTCTGGCGCTAATGCAAATACATGCCCTACACAAACCTTTTGTTATTCTGGGCCTGCATTACATTAACAGCGAGAAATGTCAGTTTTATTCAGTGTGTGGCAGAAATGTACCTGCTGTGTGTGTGTGTGTATGTATATGTAGCAACACAAGCCTGAGGAGGAAGCACAGACAAGCCCAGGAAGGGAAGATGGCTTTGGAGTTTACAGTATTAGAAAAGCAACACTTTCCCACTCTACAGAAAACAAGCGTGTCCTAAGTTCTCAGGGCTGTCCAGTGAGTAGAACCTCAGCAGAGAGGGAAGGGGAACACAGAAACAGAATGGAGCAGTGCTACCTGAACTTCACCTGCTGATACATCTCCCAGGATTCAGCATCTTGAGCTCTTTTCTCACCCGTGAAGACAACCAGAGACACAAGTTAACAACTGGACTTCTGACAAAAATCAAGGGTCAGTTATGCCATACAGTGGTGAGAAAATTATAATGTAGTTAAAGGATAATCCATGTTTATTAAATCTTGACTTCTTTATGTAGCTTTGCCTATCATTTCTTGTGGTGATAATAACAGTGTATTCCTCTATGTCAATTCTGAAACCCGTGGACACAGCGACTTGACAGATTCAGCTCAGATGATCAGACAGGTTGTACATAAATAATTTGTCCAGGGGGGTGGGGGGTGGGGGGGTGTTAGAGTGGACATTTTAATAAAGAGCACCGTTTTTCTGAGCTGTTTGAAACTATTCCTGTGAGGTTTGTATAGGCTGTCTTCTTCCGATTTGTGCTTTAAAAACAAAGGATCTAAAGCTTATTATGACACTTCTTCAGCAGCTGACAGGCCCCAGTATGTCAGGCTGAGGTACTGCACCTCAGGGATGGTGGTCAGCAGCACAGGGGACAGTGCTCCCCCTTCTGATAATCATTGCTGTTGCTACTGGATACCTGAATTACCCTGGGGATCAATAAAGCATCTATCCAGCTATCTGCTCACTTCTCATGCACACACAAATGAAGCAATGCCTGTGCGCTAGTTTAAACATTCAACTTGACTCTGTCGGTATACACACATGGCAAATCCCTCTTGCTGCAGCACATACCCACCAATCCCCTCACAACCGTTTAATAATGGTGGCGTAGTAAAGCCATCAGTGTTCTGATCACTTTTGCTGCTGTTACTGCTGCCACACTGCAAATACTGCTGTTACTCGTCACATACCAACTTCTCCACATTAATTCTTGGCTGCTTCTTGATCAGCCCGACTTCTTTTAGGTGATGTCACTGTGGTCTCAGAAAAAACATAAGTGATTACAATACTGTTATTACTGATAGAAATGACAGCAAAAACTACAAAAATGGAAAAATGTGACCCCTTAGTGCTCCATGGAGCTGATTAAAGAGTGTGGCTCTGCAGTAGACCAGACCAATTATTTGAAAGACGTGATATGCCGTGTGATATGCCTCCCTGCAGCTGAGCTCAGTACCTGAAGAAGATGTCCTTGGGCAGGTGGGTGGAGCTGGGGTGTACCAGTTGCTCCTTCAGCTGCTCCAGAGAGCAGTTGTACACATAGACTGGACACTTAAGTTGGCTGCTCTCACTGGTGCTCTGCTGGGAAAACTGCCTGCTGAAGCTGATGTGGAAATCTCCTTTTTGTGGTTCAGAGAACTGGACTCCCTCTTTTTCTTCAACATCTAAGACATTTGAAGAGCAGATTGTTTAATATTCAGCTCTACGTGTAATATATTAACAGGGTGTGCCACTGTTTGGCTGAAGAACTAAGAACAATGCGTGTTGTACGCTGTACAGACTGTAAAGCCGTGTGAGGCAAGTTTGAGAAACTGGATTATACGAATAAAACTGAATTACTGTAACTTTGACCTTTATCCTATTTTGGACTGGACTACAGACTGCAGCCCTGGATAAGAGCAGACTGACCTGAGCCTGGGGTCCCGGTCTCTGTCTCCGACACCCTGCTGTCCCAGCAGTCCTGGTCCAGGATCAGTGAGTCAGTAGGCCCAGTCTGGCCCTCAGACTGAGATAAGAGCACGGAGGACCTGGTGGGGACCTGTCCACCATTGGAGCTCCTTTGCAGCCTACTGGCCAAACTGAAGCTGGACTCCGACCTCTCAAGCCCGCTGGTGGAGCCAGACAGGGAGTCAGCCTGAGATTTGTTGCTGGGAGTCATAGTATCTTCCTCCTGCATGCTGATGTTACTCTGAGGCTCTGTCTCCAGCCCTGATGCCATCAATATCAGAACATCTGCAAAATAAATGTAGTATCCACATCTAACTGCTTTGCATTTACAGAATCCGGTTCAAATGCAGAGAAGCTAATTGCTCTAAATAAAACTCAAGGTGTACCCGTAAAAGATGCAGGGACTAAGGTGAGGAGGATCTGATGGAGGCTAATGAATCTGGCGTAGCACCTCCACTGTGGCATAGAGCAGTGCCTGTCCCCCAGTACAGGCTCTTCATCCACAAGGTCTGCGTTACTGAAACTCTGCCACAGACAACAAGGAAACATGTTTATTACTGTACTGACCCACTATGACTATTTTATATTTAGTTCCTCCATTTCATTCAGTGAGTGACAGTGAATTTAAAGTACTGCATATTATATTAATGAAAGCTTATAACATGGATCACTGATTATTATGGCATCATGGCCCTTTTTAACCAAGTGTTTTCAATACTGAGTGTATTTTAAACACTTCTGTGACATTCCCCCAAAGTTGCTGGTGAAGACTACAGACTTCAGGTGGTAGAACTGTTTTTTTTCCCCCCCAAACATAGCTGAAATCAGCTAGCTCTTCATTCAGCTCCCAACATAGTGTTGCCAACTGAGCGACGTTGTCACTACATTGATCGGCTTTGTGACCTTTCTAGTGACCAATTAAAAAAATAAATAAATAAAAATAAAAAGACCAGCAACAAATGCAGTGACTTTGACAGAGTTTAGCTACTTTCTCTGGAGGACAGTGGACAGGACTGCCCATGAGGACGCAGTCTTGCACATAGTAATGCCTCTCTTGGCTTCTACTGTGGTCAGTGAGTAGGAGAGAGGAGACAAGCAGAGCATTCAGTTGATTGCATTGTCACCGGCAGAGACTCCTGGTGTCTCATCCTCATTTAGTTTCACCACAATTTAATATATGCTGACTGAATAGGCCATTTTCATATAACTTTTGCAGTTAACAGTAAGGCAACAGGTCAAAGAAATACAGCCAGGGCATTCATACTGTACATGTAAAAAGTTCTCTCTAGACTTTCATTATCATTCATTTCATTGCTTGTATGTGTTTGGTTTGATTCTTTTTTTTTTTTTTTTTTTGCCAAAATTTTACTCCATCAGTGAACAATATGCATGTAGTTCTGTAGTAAATATGCACATAGTTAGTTTGTATGTCTTTCATTTTGACTGGTAGCACACCCATGTTGTGTATGAACTACAGAGAGCACAACAGCCTATCTTCCTCCTGCTAGTTTATAATACAATATGATTACATCATCAATATGCAAATCACCAAGCGACATCATCCAACAACTTTTCCAGCAGGTTTTAGCTGCTTTCTGCTGGCAACACCATCTCTACAGTCTCAGCACAAAGCTGTGCAGAGGTGGGTTTATCTTTGTGTAACCCACCTTATAAAAGGGTTTAATGTGTGTTATAATTCTGTTTAATAGTTTCACGTCAAACGCTTTATTTTGAAAACCGCAAGTTTTATTTTGGTAATTACAGGGAGAGGAAGTCTTGACATCGTATGAAAAACGTGATGTGATAAAACGTAGTGTACAGCTAGACTCATGCAAAACAAAGAGGAGAAAAAGTCCATAAGAACTTCTTAAAATAGGAAAAAAAAAAAAAAGAGTGAAAACTCGTCTTAAGTTCGAGGGAGCTCGTGCTTAACGTCAGATGACCTGAAGGAGCATAACTTTAGGTGCTGAAAACGGAACCCTTGGTAAGCTAATTCATAGTACCAATGAATGCTAGCATGCTACGCTCATGATATGCTAGCGTTAGCTAGTAGCAGGTAGAGAGTAAGAGTAGTGATGGGCAGATGAAGCTTCATGAAGCAATGAAGCCTTTCATCCAATTGGTTCACTCCAGCACAAAGATTCTTGAAGCTTCATTTGCTCTAGTAGGACATCTACTGGATACAACAATATCAGTTGGCATGAATTTGAAGTGTGTGGCATTTTGCAGAAAGCCTGTGAATAAAACTGTCAGCAAAATAAAGAAGTATGCAAAACATGTATATTGTAGTGATGGCAGTATACTGTGTATATATATATACTGGCAGTATGGAAAATGATTATTTGGAAATGATGAAAATGGAAATGATTATTTACAGTGAGGTGAGGGTGGTTGGGGTATGGACAATGATTGTGCTTTTGTAACGTTGAGGTATGGCCAGTGATTATGGTTTAGGGGACACATCATTGGTTTTTATTTAAAAACAACAGTTTCTCCACTGTGGCAGGTCTTAGGCGATTTC